CTATCTATCTATCTATCTATCTATCTATCTATCTATCTATCTATCTATCTATCTATCTATCTATGTGTATACATGTGTGTGTACTAATCCAAAGGGGGGAGAAAGAAAGAGACAATAGTACAAAAAGAAAAGATAGAAAGAAATAACATTTCCAATTTCCTTTGCAGCAAATACAAGTGTGATTACAAAATTATCTCTTACTCTATGATTACAAAACAGCTCTATTTCTTCCTAATCTTTTCTAATAATCAAAACCTCAAATCAGAAGTCCATTTTCTGTTTCGTGCAGAGAATCTACAAGGGGATTCCAGTCAGTAATAAACACAGATGTGGCCTCTAATCAAAGAAGTCAATTTATCCATCTGTACAAGTCCCATCATCTTTATCAATCATATCTCCATTGCAGATAGTACCAAACATTTCCACTTTGGGGCATATAATAATCTCATTGCAGTTATCCTATATACAACTCAAGTACCATGACTTTTCCTCAAAGACTATTTAAAATGCTTACCTCAATTTTACTCCTTTCTGCGGTAATGGGCTCTGCAAGATATCTGAATCTGTAGAGCACATAAATCCTCTCTACTGGTAATGAATTGTATATTCAGAAACGAGATTTCTAAACTGCTATGTTTCAAGTGAAAGACAATTAGGAGGCCACATGATAATCTGGCCTCTTCATCCCCCATCCCATGCCCTTGGAATAGCATCAAATCAAACCCAAAACTGAGTAGCTCAGCAAATACCTACATTTCTTTTTCCCCTTCTTTTCTCCAATCTACATAAGCATATGAATGAAGGAGGGCTGTAAAGATAAACACAAGAGGCTGGAAGTTACCTGCAAAGCTGTAAGAATATTGGCTAAGGCCTGGCCGTAGGTGTCATGGCAATGCACTGCCACAGCGGACAATGGAACTTCCATCATAACAGATTCCAGTGTTCTCTTCATACTGCCAGGGGTCCCCACTCCAATGGTATCTCCCAAAGAGACCTCATAGCATCCCATACTATATAGCCTTTTTGAGACCTTATTAGGGAGAAACAGAGTTCTTTCAAATATGTGAGAGGTAACAAGGGAAATATCAATGGTCTACTTTAATGTTACAAATTCACATGTGCCAAAGAAGAATTTCTGAGGTATTAGGAACCCATTCATTTTTCTCTTCAACTGGTTCATTTCTACCTCCTTTCCAAGATTTATGGAGCATCTAAACCTGATGGCTTAAAATTTTGGGAATTTTAGTCGCAATGGGTCTGGAAGGCATTGGGTGGGAAAAACAGATCTAAATTGCCAAATCAATCTTTGCACTTACATATGCATGCCACATTGCCACCTTGTAGGCCTTTTAAATCGAGATTTGACAGAACAATAAAACATTCTGCTAGGTTTTAGTCAGCCTAAACCAATTAAGATGGGAAAAGGCCCTTCTGATATTGCAGTATATTGTCTGTTTAACAAATGAAAACCAAAGCAAATCCCTGTTTCATATTCAGGTAGCCCTCGAATTACAATCATAATTGAACCTGGAATTTTGGTTAGAAGTCACTGTAGTCATAAGTCAAGTCATTATCAGACCAAACTCAATTTTACAACCATTTTTATGATAATGGTTAAGTAAAACACCATGGTCATTATACAAAATCTAAACTCAGGTTATCCAAAGGATAGGTTGGAAAGTGACCAAAAAAACCCCTTGCAAAACACAATCGCATGACCATGGGACACTGCAACTGGTCATAAATGCGAACCAGCTGCTGTGTCCAAATTGTGACCTCATGACCACACTGATGGTGCAGTAACTTTGAGGGCAGGATTGTAGATAACTTTTATTGAATCCATCGTAAATTCAAAAAGGTTGTGAGTCAAGGATTATCAATACCTAGCTGAGTTGTATTTTTAGTCCTGTTTCCAATTTTAAAAAGTATTCAAAGTTTACACCTCTTCCCTCTTTTTAAGGGGAGGGGGAAATAAACTCATTTTTTAAAAATGCAGAGCACGAGGGACTACTTTTCTCGGGATGAGACTTTTGTTTGTTTGAGGTGGCAGGTCAAAGCTTGTTGTCCAAGAAACAGAGTAGTGATGAATCAATGGCCGGCCCTCTGCTGTTCAGCCATTCCTATTCCAAGAGATAAACATTTACACACATACTCTTTTTCACATGGGTGGTTCTTAGACTTAAAAACATATTTTTGTTGCTTCTGCAGTCCATCTACTCCTCAGATGTAGAAAAGGCAGTTTGTATAAACTCTATCAGCTTTAATACTAAATCTTGGCTTGAGCAGAAGTGTCCGTGACAGGTTCAGGAAGGCGCCTTTATTGCATCGAATGAAGAAAATCCCCACCATATGTTTTACTTTCTGGCTTACTAAGTCACAGTGGGAGCTGATGCTTCTATTGTTATCAAAACCGACAGTTATTCTTGCTTCTGAAAATATACACACATAGTATATTTGATGGCAGCTAATGGTTATGGCTCATGCTATTTGGATTGGAGATGGAGGCTACTTATTGTCTAATACAGCTAACAGACAAGATATCAAATTATATAGCTGAAATGTAAAAAAAAAATTCCCTTCAGTGAGAAGAACTGACACTGATTTAAAGATTAGAAGTCCTTTTCAAAGTACTTGGCAGTTCCATTTCACAGTGCATTATATATAAATAAATATATGTCAAGCATATTCCTGAATTCCCAGTTTTAATTATCACAAGGGAATGAATCATGCATGCACATATTCTGGTTTGGTTTTAATTTAGAAGAAATAGTCTTACTTCAGCAACCTTAGCTGGAGGAATAGTTCCTTCATAAGGGCATCCCAATGCACAAGACACATACCTAAACAAGGAAAAGAGGTACATTGTTGGTATGTATAATTCTCACAAGCAAACACCATTTTTTAAATCTGGCACGCACAATTAGAAAAAAAAAGTAATGGTGCACAAATTTAGTCTGCAAAGTCAGACTAAAATACTGATAAAATCGAATGCAACCTATCAGACACCTAGTCACAAATAATATGCCATATACCTAAATGCAAACTACTGGAGAAAAATATATCCAATGTTCTTATCACATTTATTTTTAACTACTGTAAATGGATTTATATTTACAATTTGACTTCTACTGTCCAGTTCAAACCAGCATATTATCTGTACTGAGATCACAAAATAAAATATTGCGATGTTGGGAATGATGATTCTGTGCACGATTCAAGAAGTGATATGCCAAGGCAAGGCACCTTCCCTTCAAAAGAAGAAAGGCTCATGCAGCGGACCTCAGTCAGGATATTGCCAAAGCCGCCACCCAACTCAGAATACTTACATATTATATAAATGGGAATCCCATGCAGCTGACATCTCCAGGCCTGCCATAATCTGCCCCACCCTTAAACAGAACTCTGACAATAACCTATTTTGGTGCAAAATCCATTGTTACAGAACTAAAGAGCTCTGAATTTATTTCAAATTCCGGAACTGTCTTTCGTGCAAAAAATTGTTGCTTCTACCTTTTCCCCAGTATACTGGGAGGGAGGAGGACTAATAGAACATCTATTAGTAAGTCTATCTGATTTATCTGTAAGTCTTACATCACCTTCTCCCCATCCCTACTATAGAAAACAAAATGTATGCTACAACCTGCTTCTTGGAGTTTACATCAGCTAATCAGCAGCTACCCTTCTCTGTCTCCCTACCAGAGGCTCACTGCGGGTTTTTCTGTTTTCAGGCCTATAGTTAAATTTTACAAGCTATCTCAGTCTTTCCAGCTGCCATTAAAATACTACTGTAGCTTTGCTCATTGAAGGCATGTCTGACACCTGCCTTTCCACTTGCTGCAGCTACACACACTGTATAGTGTATATCCAGCACTACCTGCCCATATTCCATTCACATTCTTGTCCGTTAGGTGGCTTGCAGTCCCAACCCAAATGTATATAAGTCAATTTTAAACTTTTGTGGGCAAAAAACGTGTTTCTCACAAAATAAGGCCGGGACTTTTTTTTTTTTGACTCTCGAAAAAAAAGCTAGGCCGTCTTTTTGGGGGTGACTTAATTTCCCCCTCTTGCATCCTCAGGTGGGTGGGCAGCAATAGCTTGGATGTTGACCTCGGCGTTGGTGGGGCACTTCCTATCGGGAGACCTTCCACCACCATTGCTTTCCCTTCTCCCTTGCTGCTGCGGCGTTTAGAGCAACGCTGCGGTATTTGGCACAGCCACGTGTGGCCAGCCAGGGCTCCTCCCTGCAACCGGAGCCCGGCGGAGACACTCGGTTTCAGGCGCTCCCATCGCCGCCTTCCCTTTGCCTTCGAAGGTAAAGCCAATTATTTTAAAAAACAATGCCCTAGTACAACAAAGCCTCCCCTGCTCAAGAGGGCAGCCCAACCCCACATGGGGAGGTGAATCTCCCGGGGCCGTAGGGCAGGATCAGTCCACCTCAGGAGAAGCGCCCAGCCCCCATCCCTGCCTGGCGCCGGGCAGAGTGTGAAGAGCTGCGCCTGGGGCGCCCAACGCAGCTGACAGGCAGGCCCTCCTTCCTGGCAGCAGAGCTCTCACCAAGGCAGCGAGCGCCCCCCCACCGGACCCTCTGTTCATCCCACCAGGGCTGCGCCAGAGCCGTGCGAGCTGGGCAGAGCCAGGAAAGCGAGCCGTGGGTGCATGCACGCCTGCCAAGCAAAAGAGCTGGGCCAACCTGAGCTTGGCTTCCTTCCCAAGTCCCTCCAGCGCAAACCCGAAGGGGCCACCAGGAGAGGCTGCCCGAGGCAGTGATAGTGCCCACCCGTCCGCAGACAGGGAGATGAGGTGATGGCAGTGCTGCTTCCCTGGCCAGCGGTGAGAGTCTGAAGTCACCCGTCCTTTCCACCCCTCGCCAAGCCCGTCCCCATCCCCACGCATCTCCAAATGTGCCAGCAGCTCCAAACGTTGCAGTGGAATGGGCATCAGGCAGAGGCGCTGACTCGGCGGGGCTCAGCTCAGAGGAGAATGCGGCGCAGGCCGTCCCCTTGCCTCTCTGTCCACGGATGGATGGGCGCTATCACTGCCTCGGGCGGCCTCTCCTGGTGGCCCCTTTGGGTTCATGCTGGAGGGACTTGGGAAGGAAGCCAAGCTCAGGTCAGCCCGGCTCTTTTGCTTGGCGGGCCGGCGCGCACCTGCAGCTTGCTTTCCCAGCTCTGCCCAGCCCACACAGCTCTGGTGTGGCCCTGGCGGGATGAGCAGAAGGTCCAGAGGGGAGGTGCTCGCTGCCATGGCGAGACCTCTGCTGCCGGGCAGGAGGGCCTGCCTGTCAGCTGCGCTGGGCACCCCAGGTGAAGCTCTTCGCGCTCTGCCTGGCACCAGGCAGGGATGGCGGCTGGGTGCTTCTCCCAGGGTGGGCCAATTCTGTGCTGCAGCCCCGGGAGATTCGCCTCCCCACATGGGGTTAGGCTGCCCTCTGGAGCAGGGGAGGCTTTGTCGTACCGATAGTAGCGTGTCATTTTTAAAAGAATTGGCTTTGCCTTTGAAGGAGAAGGGAAAGCGGCGATAGGAGCGCCTGAAGCCGAGTGTCTCTGCTGGGCTCCGGTTGCAGGGAGGAGCCCTGGCTGGCTGCATGTGGTTGCTCTAAACGCCGCGGCAGCAAGGGAGAAGGGAAAGCAATGGTGGAGGAAGGTCTCCTGATACGAAGTGCCCTACCAACGCCAAAGTCAACGCAGGCAGCACCATATCCGGGCATGCAACAAAACTACTTCCTAACGGCAAGCCCCTCCCACCATTCCCCCCATTTCGCATGTTTAATATAGGCCTTAATTTGGGGAGAGGGGCTTAATTTGATATTATGCCGATAAAACATGCTGGGCCTTCCTATAGGTGGAGGCCATATTGTTGGAGAAACATGGTATATAGCACTCTTCTGTATTTTCAAAGACTATTTTTTGTTGACTCAGTGGGAAGAATGATTTAAAAAAAAACTATTGCTTCTTCTCGCCTAAAAAAAAAAGAACAGAAAACCATGGATGGAATACTAGCAACTCCACCTGGAAAACTCCTGGGAATTGAAACTATATGTTATTATGGATGTTGGTCTTTTAGAAGGAACATTTACAAAATATAGCTGGATAATTTATCAGTTCCCATTAAATGAAAATAAATCCACACAGAAATAGTCCCACACAGAAGTCCAGCTCTTACATGAATATGATTGTTACAAAAGCAGACACAGACAGACAGAGTCAGACAGATAGAGTGATTTGACTAGCACAGCCAAATGCAGAGAGATCCCCAACAAGCTAGTCTGAGACACAGATGCTGCTGCTTCCTGTTTATTATTATACTGTATATTTGAATATAATTTACACTGTTCATTGTAGAAGCATTTATTTTCATTGGGAAGTTCATGTCTGAAGAACAGATATGCATCCTAAAAGCAAATTCTTAACATGGCAGTTGATATTTTCTTAGCGAATGTTATATTATAAAACCGCCAAATAATTGCTGCCAGAACACTAGGAAATAAAGGGAGGTTGTAATAATAACCTAAAAATGTCTTCTAATTAAAGCAAAGCTTTAAAAAAGAATAGGACTTTGGATAGTTCCAACTGTATTCCAAAATTGCTCACCACAAAGTACCATACTAGATGATGCAACACATACTGTATTTTGAGTAGATTTGTATAATTTGTTCAACAGATTTCCATAAGAATAGGAGTGTTTACAACAAAACTTAAACAAAACTATTGCTGTCATTCCTCAATCCTATTCCCAATATAGATTGTAGATCTATTTTCTGATTTCAAACTTCAACAAACATGAACAATATTATCGCCATTTATAGCAAAAAATTACTTAATATGAAAAATACTACTGCTGATGAAAGAATACAAATAATTTTCATATCCTTTAAGCAGATATGACACTTTATATTATCATTACACTGGATGCTTTTCCTCCCACAGTGAACTTTACAAATGAAGCAAAACATTTAATTTGGTTCATGGAAGTAAAGTCAATCACTTGTGCCATCCACAAATGGACTCTCTTTTGCTTATAAATAGAGACACATTTGCGGAATCACAATTTGCTTACTTGGGATTTTATTTGCTGTTTTTTTAAGTTAAAAAAATAGCTTCAGGTTGCAGATTGATGTTAAAAGTGAGTTCCAAATCTGTTATGAACTCCCATTTTCCTCAAAATTAAGACATGGGAAACCTCATTATGTAAAGTTCATAGTCTCTTAAAGTATCAAAACTAGAGCCTGGGGTCACCTACTGAACAGAGGTTCAAGACTGAGAGAAAGAGTTGTCCCAACCTGTTGAATTTTGCTAGACTACTACTAAATGATGTAGTGTTGGTTGCTAACTTGGATATTTTAAAAGAGTGTTCAAACTAATTTATGACATATAAAGTTATTAATGTTTTATCATGGAGGTAAATCACATCTTAACAAACGTTTTCAATGAAAATAACAGGAAGATTTTTTTCCTGTTCACAATCTGCTTGTGGATTTTTCATTGGTATCTGTTTAGTCCCCGTCCCCCCCAAAATGTTGAATAGGACCTGGGTCTGACCGAACATTGTTCATATTCAAGGAACTACGGGGGCATTTTAATAGTCTTGTAAAGCAAGATCCAAAAAAATAAACATTGTGCTTTATAATCCTTACTCCATTTTCATCTCACCATACTTTTGAGTGAGTCAGATCATACAAAGAAACAGCATGATTTGCCAAGACCACCCAGTCAGTGTCTTGGCTAGCAGGCATTTAAAAGTGGTCTAAATGTGACATGTTATTCACCTGCTTTACTGTCCCTAGTTTAATTGCAATATATTTATTTAAAGGTTTTTTTTCCATGGATTGCATTTGCATTTCCTATCAGGAGAGTGTCTGTGATTATATATACTTTGATATCGGGAAGGCGCTGGGGTAGCTTTGAATTCTTTTAAAAGATAATAGCTTTCTGTGCAGTTTGTATTACCAGATTACCAGGAACGTTTTAGTCCAATTGAGCATAGAAAATATATTACAAATATTTTGATGGCTGGATTTTTAACACATTTCTTTGAACTGTGGCCTTACAGGATGTTCTAAAGTGGTAGGAAAAGTGCTGCTGGACTGGGGATAGCATTCATGAATTTGTCTGAGAATATGTCTCCCTTTATCTCTGTAACATAAATATCTGTAAAATCCATTTACTAAGCCAGCTTCTTTGAGTATTGACCCTATATTATTCAGGAATGTTATTCACTCCATCATCCATGATAGACAACTTGCTTTATGATACAATTCAGAATTTACTAATTAAGATAACTCTGTTTGCAGCAGTTGGGAAAATCATGTTGAACAGCAAAGTACACTTCTAATGAGTTCTACTGGAACTGAGAATTGTAGTAAAGGGTCAACTTTAGAGGGGAGAAAATATGTTCCCTATATTTTCCCCTCCAAGGTTGACTCTAGACATGTTTATGCATAGAGGACACTTCCACCAGAAAGTCTTCAAAGCTTTCATGGTGAGCCTTCACGACGTAGTGGTAACTTTGCAAATACAGATGGGATTTTATTTCTGAATGAAATATTTTCAGAATCATTTGCAAAGCCCCCACATCCAGGGCTTAGCTTCACTATAACTTGCAGCAGCAATTCAAAGCATTAATAATTACAGGTTGTTCAGAAGAACCACTTCTTTTCCTCATTTTGAAACTTCAGTAATTAATTTCATACACCAGATAATATATGTAAATATGGAGATCGGGTGTAGGAGTAATTAATAATGATATTTACTTATCTTTTTTAAAAAAAATAGTAAGCATATAGCATCTTTCAATAAACAGTTCAAGCCTTCCATATGTCAGTTGATAAACATGAATATATATATATATCAACGCTGGATGACCTTGGACCAAAGCCGGTCCAGCTGTAGCAATGGAACTTAAGAAACCTCTCTAAAGCTTTCAAGGAGATTTTTTTTCCATTACATTTACCCACTGATGTTGATCTGTTCTTGCAATATAAACTCTAATTTGCCAGGAAAAACAGGATATAAAGCTTGAAACTCTTAACATGATTTCTGAAAGGTCCAAATTTGCCAGAATGCCTAAAGTTATACCAAAGTTGATGGTATCAAAAGCCATTAAGAAGCTTAGAAAAACCACCAGGTCCTCACACCACATCTAGTTTCTATATTCCAGCCTCGGTCATCCATCAAAATAATCTCAGGATTATATCCCAACCAAAAGCTCAGGATAAATTTAAACAGAAGACAGTTGCATCCAAATCCACTGGGCCCACATCTCTTTCTCTCTTTTTTTTTTTTGAGCCTTTACACCATTTAATCTTTTTGAAGTCCTACCCAAGAATGTGTTTGAGATGGCCTTGCAGTTACCAGGATCTTCTAGCTCAGGACACCTTTCCAATAAGAACCTTATGACTACTAGCAGCATTATAATCCACTCTGATGAATGAATTAATCACCCCCTTAACCATGGAGTCTGTCCCATCCAAGCCAAACTAATCATTTAGTAAGGACAAGGTATTGGGCAAGACAGTGATGATCCTCATCTCCAGATACGTTACGTGCTAAAACTGCATGTCAACAGGACTAGCAGTAACCTCTCTGTCCTGCTCCAACATTGGAGTCCAAATCAAGGCAAATTACATCAGCTTTTTCTGCAAATAATGCAAATAATGATGACAGAGAAAATGCTATGTAGAACAGTAAAGTCCCAAGGGTGCTTTTTCCAAAAGGCAACTGGACTTTCTTTGTTTTTCCTTGATGATGTTTCGCTTCTCAGAACTGAAGAAGTTTCTTGGATAAGGAATGAAACAGCTTCAAGCAAGAACAAAGAAAGTCCAATTGGCTTTTGAAAAAAGCACCTTTAGGACAACCAGGACCTGGATGACTAAGAATTTCCATAGACAATAGAACAGAAATGCATTGTTGGCTATTCTTTGTGGGTACAAATGCAAGAAAATTAGTGAACACTCATTGTTGCATTCATTGTCAAGGAAAGGATTTCAAATAGGAGTTAAGTTAAACTACATTCCTTATTTGATTGAATCCATCCTGAACATTCCTTCACAGATCATTACCAATCACTTTAATTGCTGCAAATTTAATAAAAGACTGCTAGGAAGGAAGAAACCTTTGGAGATATCCAGACATTCGGAGGGTTCCAGAAATGGATCTTAAAAAAATGTTGGGAGTTCTTCAAATACATTGAAAAACTGCACAAGAGAAGTTATCTAATCTATGCATGGATAGGATGTTTAAATTGGGATTTACAAGGATGTGAGTATTGCTGTAACTCTCTTAAGCAGAATTCTAGGTATTTAGCCAGTCTGAAGTGAAACACCTACAGCTTTATCACAGAAATGGAATAACTAAGACTCAATCTTAAGTCTTATGTTGAATGTCCAACAGAATAGACTGGGGTTCACTTCTGAGAAAAAAACCAAAAACTGTGCTGCAAATTAAAAGTCTATCTCAATTTCTTTAGTCAGTGTGAAAATATTGCAAAGAAATGGTTATATTAATAAAATTAATAATTATTACCCTCGCACTGGAATATCCATATTTCTTGCAGACTTAACTACCGCCTCAAATCTGTCCAGGCTTTCTTCTATAGTACAATTGATATTTATTTTACTGAAAGTCTCAGATGCTGCACCAAACACTGACACTTCAGTTGCTCCAGCAGCTATCTACAAAAGGAAACAGAACAGGAAGAAAAAAACCTATCATTTTTCTGAAATAAATGGGAACTATACAATTATAGTATATACATTATTTTAACAGTAGTTCCTGACTTCTGTAGCAAGAACAACCCAAAAGTAGTCTAGCTATAATTAATCAAATTTACATGGAGTCATTCCAAGAGAAAACTAGTCCCAGTTAAGTATCTTAAGATCTAGATAGTCATTACCAATATAGGAACTGCTACTAACTAAAATCTTCTCAGTGGTGTCCAATATCAGACCTCACTTACTGGAAGCAAGGATTCAAAACTAAAGTAGAAAAGACAAGGCATTATGTTACGCTATTATTTCTTGGCTTTTATTCTGAAATGTAAGTGGAGATACAGAGTGAACTGAAACTCATTCACAAACTTGGAAAAGACAAGAGTAATGCAATTTCTGTCACTTGGGGGACCACCAAGCTTGATGTGTGTATCAAAAGGGGGAGGCATCAGGGAGCTTAAGAAGTAAAATGTGGATCCTGATCATCAGCACCCATTTACCCCCATACTGAAGAAAATAATGGTTGTACTCATTAAAATTGATGACAGAAGACTGTATATTTGGCACTCTCAGGATAAGCCATAATGTAGTTTGTTTATTTTGACTCAATAGCTTGATTGAATACAGGTAGTCCTCAACATACAACCATTAATTTACTGACTATTCAAAGATGCAGTGGCACTGAAAAAAGGTACCTCATGACTGTTTTTCACACTTGTGACCACTGCAGCATCCCCAAGGTCATGTGATCAAAATTGGGACATGCAGCAACTGGCATGTATTTACAATGGTTGCAGTTTCCCAGGGTTACGTGATCATCGCCATTGGAATATGATCCTCTTGACTGCAAGTTCTCAGGACTCGGTTTGCGAAAGGAAAAGACATCCCAGCCATTTTCCCAGCAGCATCACAAGCAAGACAGCAATGGTACCACATTGTTCCATGCTGGAATACTTCACCCCACTTCTGCCTGCCTCCTCAGCAGGGACATGAGGATTCTACTGTGAAAAGATTTCTTTAACGCTTGGTACATGTGCTGTCTGCACACTGCAGCAAGCGGGAGATGTGGATAAGCCCCAAATTTGGCACAAGTCACACATTTCCAGGAATCTAAATCCTGATTAATATATTTTGGATTTAACTTCAAGAATGGAAGCTTTCTGTAATTTTGTTATTTCTAATTATACAATTCTTGGAATGCTTTGGAAGGATTTTTTCCCCTTAATTTCTATCAAAAAGAGTGTTCTTTTTTATGTTTACCATAGCAAAGAGCACTAGTTTATTTGTTAACTATTATCCTGACTTTATATTGGGGCTGAAAGAAGGTAACTGGTCCAAACTCTCCCAGTAGGCGTCTGGGGATAAAGGTGGATTCAAACTTGCATCTCCCCAATCTGTACCATGCTAATTTCATTCTATGCATACAGTACATATACATTCATACATACATACAGCAGAATGGAAACCATGAAGATTAGGAGTAAGGACTGGATAACAGACTCCAGGATATCGTTTTATTCCTTTCATTACTTCTGTATGATCTGCCATCTTTAAAAAAAAAAATCATTTCACAAGGTTATATTATAGTACCTGATGCCTACCTCATGGCATTAATAAAGGAACACAAATAACACAACCCACTTACAAAAACCAGATAATCCAGATAAAATTGAGAAGGTATGTAAGATAATATAGTTAGTATAATTAACATTTGAGCCATGGTGCTGCCGTGATTAGAATGCAATACTGCAGGGCTAACTCGTTGCTCCCTCCAGGAGGTCGATCCTGAGCAGCTCAAGGTTGACTCAGCCTTCCATCCTTCCCAGGGGGATAAAATGAGAACCTAGATTCTTGGGGGAAATAGGCTGACTCTGTAAACCGCTTAGAGAGGGCTGTAAAGCACATAAGTCTAAGTGCTATTGCTATTGCTAACATTTGTTCTCTTTCTCGATATATTGGTTGTTACGTGGCACTAGGTGTAAGGGCATTTCAGTATATGTTCTTTCTGCACCAACTCAGAAAGCTCAAACTGCCCAAGGAGCTACTGATACAATTCTACAGAGGAATTATTGAGTCTGTCATCTGCACCTCTATAACGGTCTGGTTTGGTTCTGCAACCCAACAAGACAGACACAGACTTCAGAGAGTAATTAGGACTGCAGAAAAAACAATTGCTACCAACCTGTCTTCCACTGAGGACCTGTATACTGCACGAGTCAAAAAGAGGGCTGTGAAAATATTTACAGACACCTCGCATCCTGGACATAAACTATTTCAACTCCTACCTTCAAAACAATGCTATAAAGCAGTGCACACCAGAACAACTAGACACAAGGACAGTTTTTCCGCAAACACCATCACTCTGCTGAACAAATAATTCCCTCAAACTATTTACTAAGTCTGCATTACTATTAGTATTACTATTAATACTTCCTTTCACCCATCTCCTCCTACTTATGACTATATGACTGTAACCTTGTTGCTTGCATCTTAACTACTTTTATTGACTGTTTCCTAGTATGATTTGATTGCTTATTGTACCCTATGACTATTATTAAGTGTTGCACCTTATGATTCTTGACTCTCTTCTTTTATGTACACTGAGAGCATATGCGCCAAGACAAATTCCTTGTGTATCCAATCACACTTGGCCAATATAGTATTCTATTCTATTATCTTTTAGTATGCCACAAGAAACTGTGTTGTGAGTAAGATATTGAATTGAGATTTGGGGTGGGCAGTTTGAGTCCTTGCTCAACATGAAGCTGCTTGTTGTGCCTGGACTTGCTCTCAGCCCAAATAAATGACCATATTTTTGTTGTGATGGTAAAAGGAAGTGAGACTCATATGTTTACCATCTTGAGGTTGTAGAGGAAAGACACTATTTGTGCAATCATAACAAAGCTTTAAACCCTTAATTAAAGAATGTCCCTTGTACCACCTAGGATAAGGCAAATCTTTAAAATGAAATATACTTTATTTACTGATATACGAAACCAATGTGACAACATTAGTGCTTTTGAATATTATGAGACCCCTGGAAATATGGTTAAAAGGCTAAATATAAAGTACAAATCAAGCACCATGAACCTTAATAGTTTTGAATAGATTTTCTACAACAAATTTTATTCCTAATAATTTTTCTTGAGAGTAAAGTCTTATTTTAACATTAATGTTTCTGCAATCCCTGTACGAAATGCAATTGGATACTTAAGCCATACACATTCCAGCGGCAGCCGTTTATCATTCTTGGCAATTTCAATTATAGGTGTGGGATTCTGTTTTACATGGCACATTGCTACTGCAAACCCTTTACTTCTTCTGGCTGTTTTAACTAAAAAAAATCATTTCCAAAAAAAACATTTGTAAAGTGGTAAAAATTCAAAAATACCTTTAAGAAAGAAAAGATGGAAAAGTAACTAGGTATAATTTTATGATCTAAGAAAAGGCTGATCTAAGGGGATACAATTAAGATCATGCTCCACCGGCAAGCAATGTGACCTTAGTATGTAAACAAATTTAATGCAAACATCACACTGTTGCATTATACATGCAGCATTGAAATAGAAACAAAATGAGATTGTTTTCCACCCCTTATATATGGTCAACCTAGACCAAATTTGCTACTGAAGGAGCCTCATTGGGAAAAAAAAAAATTAAGAAAACATTTTTAAAAACTAAGGAAGTGAAAAGAGTAGTTTATGGTGGCCTTAAATATTCCTTGAAGGAAAGTAAGTATCAGAATACTATATTATGCTATAAAATGACAATAAGAAAAATCCAAAATGATTTTTTAAAGAACACAAGGGATGCCTATTAGTATAGGCAATTTAACAGATTTTGTTAACGCTAACATAAGATCGACAGATTAGATAGATGTACATACACACACAGTATGTGTGTGTGTGTGTGTGTGTGTGTATACATACATACACATAGTGTTTGTGCATATATATATATTCTTAAGTTTTCGTGGGTACTCACATGTATGGTATTCAGCTTTGTTCGGGTATTTTCCTACGTCATTATAGTTGTGTTTTTAAAGTTGTAGCAACGTTTCAGCAGAATTTCATCTGCCATCATCAGGCTTCTGTATTGTGTTCGTCTGTGAGTCAGACTTTTACAGTTGTTTCAGTTTTAAATTTGGGGCTAGCCTACTGCTGTGCCAGAATGGTTTTTTCTTCATCCTGATTGGTTGGGAGTCTTGGTCTGTGTTTATTGGTCTTGGAGTTTTCTGTGTTCTGCTTGATTGGTGTTTCTAATATCTTCTGTCTGTTTTGTGGCTTTTGTTGTCTTGATTGGCTGGCAACATTGTGTTCCTGTATTGGAGGCTTTTAGTGCAGCTTGGCTCCGAGTAAATGGACAGCTATCATTTGTTAGGAAGCTAGGTTTCATCTGGGTGCCTGATTGGGGTGTGTTTGAGCTGGAGGTATCAGGGGGGATCTGTTTGTGCCCAGGTGTTTGCCTGGCTTGTGGTGTGGAGATTTTTTTGTTTGTGAGTACAGGCTTCCAAATAATTGACAGTCTGGTGGAATCATCTCTTCTATTCGTGATTTCAGGTCTTTTTTCAATCTCTATAGCTTCTCTGATAATTCTGTGGCTGGGGTTTTCTATAGTAGCTAGGGTTTTGGTGCCATTGAAGTTGATGCTATGACCTGTGGTTTTCATGTGTTGGACTAGTGAGGAAGTGTGTTCCAGCTTTTTTACTGCATTTTTGTGTTCATCCAGGCGGGTACTTATTCTTCTATTGGTCTGTCCAATGTATGTGGCCGGGCATGATGCACAGGGGACTTCATATATGCCTGGGTTTCCAGGTCAATTTTATCTTTGGGGTTTCTAAGGATGGCTGCTATTTTTCTGTCTGTTTTGAAGGCACTCTTGATGTGATGCCTGTGTAGTATCTTACTGATTTTGTCTGTAGTACCTCTTATGTAGGGTAGGACAACTGTTCCACAGGTCATCTTCTAGGTCTCCGTTATGTCACAGTTTGTTTTTGTGGATCAAGCCGGTGATTTTGCTTTTGTGGAAGCCATTGGCTGTCAGTACTTTAGTCAGGGTGCATAGTTCCGTCTTTATGTATGTCTTGTCTGCCAGGCATTTGGTTCTGGTGATTAGTGTTTTGGCCACGGAGTTTATCTGTGCTGGGTGGTGGTGGGATTGGGCGTTGAGGTAGTGGTTGGTGTGTGTTTTCTTCTGGTATATGGTGTGTCCTAGTGTGCCATCTGTTTTTTTGTAGATTAGTACATCTAGGAATGGTAGTTGTTTGTTTGTTTCCGTTTCCATGGTGAACTTGATTTGGGGGTGTGTGCTGTTTAGGTGTGTTAGGAAGTTGTTTAGCTTTTCTTTTCCATGGGGCCAAATCACAAATGTGTCATCGATGTATCTTAACCATAGTTTGGGTTTGTGGGTGGCATTAGCCAGGGCTCTGGATTCGAATTCTTCCATGAACAGGTTTGCAATGACGGGTGACAGTGGTGATCTCATAGGGGCTCCTTCAATTTGCTTGTATCTTTGTCCTTTGTATATGAAATATGTGTTGGTTAAGCAGTGTTCTGCTAGTTCCATGTGGTGTTTGCTGGTTGGTATTTATTTTTGATGATATCAAGAGTTTCTTTTATCGGGACTTGAGTGAATAGTGAAACCACATTGAAACTTATAAGCAGATCTTCTTCTTCCACGTGTAGATCTTTGATCATTTCCAAGAAGTGGTATGAGTTTTGTACATGTGAAGCTGCTGTTTCAGCATGGGGCTGTAGCTGTTTTGCTAAGTGTTTAGCTAGGTTTTGTAGTGGTGCTCCTCTGGATCTGACTATGGGTCTGAGAGGTATGCCTTCTTTGTGTATTTTTGGGAGGCCGTATAGTTTGGGGCATCTAGAAGATTTTTCTCTTGGGATGATCGTCTGTTGAATGTCTTTGCTCATGTGACTGGTTATAATTTTCTTCTTGGTTATTTTTTCCAGATATGTGGTTGGGTCCGTGTTTATGGGTTTGTATGTGGAGTCTTGGAGTAGGTCTGTCAATTTTGTTTCGTAGTCTTTTCTATCCATTACGACTGTGGCATTCCCTTTGTCTGCTGGAAGTATGATTATACTGCTATCCTTTTTTAGGGCTTGCAGGGCTTTTAGTTGTTCTTTGTGCAAGTTACTTTTGGGTGGTTTGCTTGTGCATAGGATGTTAGTAACTTGGTGTCTTATTCTATCAACTTCATCTGTATTTAATTTAGTTAGGCTGGATTCTACTGCACATACGATGGATTCTGTGGGGATTTTGTTGGGTGTTATAGCATAATTGAATCCTTTGGTTAGGACATCTGTTTCTGTTTTGGTGAGTTCTGTGTTGGAAACGTGATATACTAATTGTTTCAGGTGTTGTTGTGAGTTGTTGGGGGCTTTCTTATCATGTTCTAATTTCTTTAGTTTCTTCAAGAGTTTGTCATTTTTGTAAGTGGTTTCAGTTTCGCCTCTCCAAGTTGTAAGTTGTTTTATCTTGTCCCAAAGTAGAGGGTGGATTTTGCTGCTCAATTCCAGGTGTAGTGTTAGCAAATCTTTGTTTAACTGATCCAATTGGAATCTCTATCTGTGGAGCTCATTCCTGAGTAGAGCCATTTCAGTTTTTTTCAGGATATGTTTAGTAGCTGCTGTGCTATGATGAAATGTTAATTTGAAGCAGGTTGGTGTTGCATTGTTGTCTCTGCAGCTGCGTAGGAATTTGAGGTCACATAGTATTCCTGCTCTTTTAATTTCCAGCTTCTCATAGGTTTTGGTCTGGCTGTTTATTTCCTCCCCGTAGAGGTCTGATATTTGTTTTCTTAAGTTTTTGCGGGAGATATATATATATATTCTTATATATATATATATGGATCTTTGGTTATTCGGGTTTTCTCCCACGTAAAATTGGAAGTATCTAGGCAACGTTTCGATGAAGTCTCATTCATCATCTTCAGGCTTGTGTCTTCTAATTGTCTTCTAAGGCAATTACAAACCAAGGTTCTTACTACAATAGAGATATGTGAATAGCTCTTATTTTTATTGCAGAAGCTGCAGGCAGGAGTGAGTGATCTGCTTTGTGAATTCAGGCTATCAATAGCATTAACTTTTCATCACACCATTTTCCCAAAGAAATTCATGTTTCATTTCAGAGGCTGCTGCTTGCCTAGTAGACAGGAAGATTCTATAAAGAAATCCAAATTTCCTGCAACAGATATAATATCAGTGGGATATCCCAAAAGTGCTTTTTCAAAAGGCAACTGGACTTTGTTTTTCCTTGAAGATGTTTTGTTCTTTTCCAGAAATGAAAAAGCTTCTTGAATGAGAAGTGAAATGTCTTCAAGGAAAAATAAGGTCCAGTTGCCTTTTGAAAAAGTACCTTTGAGACAACCATGACCTGGATGACAAAAGGTCTCCATAGATATTTACTAATGAGATGTTTCTGTGGAGAAGTATGTACATTGATTTCCCAAAGACAACTGGACTTCTTTTTACTTGAAGCCATTTTGGTTCTCCTCCAAGATGCTTCTTCAGTTGTGCCTTTTGCCCACTTTTGGGATAACTATGACCTGGATGACTGAGAATCTCCATAGACATTCACTAATTTCTTCTCTCCACAACATACATGCACAAAGCATGATTGGAGTAGTAGCTTCAAGACAGAATTAAGGGGAAAAATCCATTCTTTCAAGGGACTGTTTTATCTCCCACAAACATAAGCATTTATTCCATTTGTGAAGATCCAAGTCTCAATCCAACAAAATGCCTGTACTTATGTGTTTTTTAAAATCAAACAGCAGCCTTGGATGAAAACAGTTTTCATCAGGATGACAGCATACAATGAAAACTCACATACACTCCTTTTTTTCCTCTTAAGATACTGTCTGGAAAAAACATTAGAGAGACATTTTGATTCAGACTATGCTGCCCTGTTATAATGTATAATTTGGCCCTAAATTAAAGAGAGCCATTCTATGAAGTAATGCCTCATATTTGCTTTAAGGTCAATTTATAAGATCACATGAAAATCCCCTTTACATTAACTTAAAGCCCACAACCAGATGTGCCACCTGAAGCTGTTTGAATATCACTACATTGTGGTGGTGATGTGGATATCCTGGTCACATTCTACTAACCCTGACCTCAACACACAGAGGATTTTTAAAGTAGTTTCCTACAGTTGTAATGAACACCCATGTGCAGTTATCTTATATTCTGCCTCCCAACAAAAGAAGCACAAAATATTGCAATGTATCACTGTTCATTTTTCTCTAACCTTTCAGAAGTCAACAGAGAAATAACGGCAACATGTTGGCTACAGGATTAAGTCTGCACCACCTAAGCATTAAAAAGGAAAAATCAAATGGAAATATCTTTTGCAAAGATTAATTTTTACTTTCTTTCCATTAACATATTTATCCAGAAACAGTAGTAATTCTTCATAGAAATTATAACTCCAATATAGTTTGACCTCTCTAATAAATATATCTATCTGGATTATGAACAAGTAATGTGCCCAAGCCATTAGAGTTTGCCTAAGGCAAAGAAATTGTCATTGGTAAACCAATCAAGACTTAGCATATAACAACTCCAATAACTATAGAAAAACAAGACAGGGCGGAAATGAGAAGCAGTATAGGAAAGCTAAATAGAGAACTAATGGCCCACAAAGAGCATGTGGAGAAATTTCACAGTGCAAGAAATACTGGCAATGTTGAGTATTGATAAGTAATGCTCATTCCATCAATTCTTTTACCTACCTGAGGTACCCATTTTGAAGAAACAAAGCTTGTCACTTCTATGACAGACAAGCCAGTTTGGGAAAGTTGGTCGATTAACTCAATTTTCACATCTGTAGGAAGTATAGCCTGCAAATTGGAAGAAATATCATTTCTATACAGCACAATGCCATATGTTAAAAACATCTTAGATCTGCATACAAAACTATTTATAATGCTATAAAACAAAATGTAAAAATCACTAGTGATGTTTTAGGTTATTGGGCCCAGATGCTCTTTTCTTAGTCAAAAGGAAACTAACACACATCCCCAGGAAATAAGTTGTAATACGTACTACTGTTGGCGCTTCCTCAGAGTCTGCAATATCTGTTTAATACAAGTGACACGGTCAGATGGAATAAAGGCTATGGATAGCACATGTTTGGGAATACAGAACATATTTTTCTGACTATTACAGTAACTGGCATTGCACCAACCAGATCAAAGCAGAAAGTAAGACTGTCCCAAGAGCTTACAATTTAAAGCCTCCGAGGCTAAGAGAAAGACAAGGATGGAAATGTAATGCATTTATGATAGAAGAAATGTGAGAAAATCATTTAGTCACAAAGTAAGACAAAAGTCAGAAAGCTGTTGTCCGTATTTCCATTGTCATGGAAATAGGGACCTCTCCTTCTACCAATGAACATTCCATCCTTTGCTAAGTAACTTCCCTCTTCCTGCCTTCTCAAATATATTCCAGAAATGTTATATGGAGTGGCTATGGAAGAAAAAGCACCACTTCCTTAATTTATATAACCACTGATGAAGAAGAAATTGATGATAACATAGTGATATTGCAAATGTATGCTCTGGTTTATCTGGTTGTACTTGTGGTAAAATGTATCACTGAAACACTGCAAGACATCATTTTATATGTAGATACAATTACTGATAACTTCATGGGCACATATAAGATGTATGTACTTATTTATTTAAATTAGATTTTTATCTCCATTAATGTATTACTTTATAAGTGAATAAAGGTGGCAAATATATCTCTGTCCTATTTTCACCACAACTACAATCCTGTGAGGTGGGTTGGGCTGAGGCAGCATGACTGGCCAAAGTCACTCAGCCAGCTTTCATGCCTAAGAGAGGACTAGAATTTACAGTCTCCTGGTTTCTAGGCCAGCACCTTAATCATTATACCAAACTGGCTCTTCTGTTCATCAAACTTCCAAAATTCTTCTGTCAAAACAAAAGCAGTTTGCATTGCCTTCTTCTAGGATGTTTTTCCATTTTTCAGTCCACCTACAAGCTTTATCATCTCCCATCCAAGTACCAACCAGGCCCCAACCCTACTTAGCTTTTTGTGACCAGCTCTTGTTGACTAAGTGCTTCTGCTTAATTATGCAAACATCACCAATTGCCCAATGACTTTTGTCACATCTGTATCATTTGGGGTAGCTCCCATCCCAAGGCTATGCTTTTCATATGTAAACATTTCATGAGCTGCAAAGCACATGCTTCTAAATGGCAACATTCCAGATAACAGGTCAGGTGGTTGAAGGAGGCAGGGAGAGAGATCAAATCACATGGAAGGAGACGGTCCACAGGTCTTTCTCACTTAATGAGGAACTTTTTCTTTCTTACAAATTAAATGGGGAAAACCCATACGCTGAGCACCGGCTAAGTGACAAACATGCACACTGAAGCTATATGGAATGTCACCAAAGAGAAATGGCTTCCATATGGATTGAGGCTTGTAAAGACATTTTGCGAGATTCTCTCAATTAATATAATCTATCAAGAGTCCTCTTCTTAATATAAAGTTGCTATTGTACAGTATATTGTACTACTAATTGATTTCATAGTGATGCTATTAAAAATATAACCATTTCAATGAGATGAAATAATCTCATTGCTTTTCCTTTTGCTATAGTTAGTCATATTTTGTTGATATTTTAAAGAGGAAAGTTTTTGAAGACAATATGATTGCAACAGCTAGGATATTACTACAGTAAGTACTAAGAAAATGCTTACAGAAAGTTATTAATTAATTAATCTTAAATTTTAAAACATCACAAAAGAGGGAGATTGAGATCTAAACTCATGTGCCTTTTATATATTGTTATATACTTTTAATGGCATGATCAGCTATCTGGGCTTAATTAATATAGTACTGTCTTCCTCAAAGGCTCACTATCCCCATTGTTACCATACCTTTTCATTCTGTAATCCATCTCTTGGACCAACTTCCACTATTTTAACGAACTCAGGAAAGCCACTTGTAAGCAATTCCTGAAACATAATATGAAAGATTTGTTAGCACGTAAAAGATTATAATTTAATCTACACTAAGGCTTCCCTCCTTAGGGCTTTGCCTACAGCTTGTTTTCATACTAGAAACAGGTTCAGGACTGTGAAAGAGGGAACAATGAAAATTATCTTAAAGAATCTTTGAGGAATGTCTTTTCATCATCATGGAAATGTTTCCTTGCAGATTAAGATCAAATAGCCAGGATTCTAAAACATGATAGCCTTTTTCAACAAATGGTGAAGCTTAACTCTGCTCTTATGAGAAAATACGAAGAGGATCGACTTGATCACAGCCAGTTCCTCCGAACATAACATTTACATTTTCAAGAAACTGATTTTCATCTAGTTTGGGAATAATTTATATCAGCAACTAGCAACATTTGCATAAAATCTGTATTCCAGATGCTAATCCTGTGATCAAAGGAGAGTAAAGAAAAAATATGGTTTTAGAAATGTAATCTTCCTTGGAAGGCAATTTGGAAAGTAGGTTTTTCTGCCATTCATTCTTACCAACGCTTTCTAAACAAAACAAATCAGTTACCAATCAAGGCATATTTTATACAACTATGTAAGTGTGTGTGTGTGTGTGTGTGTTTGTGTGTGTGTGTGTGTGTGCCAGAGAGATATGGTAATGACTAATAGCACTGAATGGGATAAAACTAGACTTTTAGAGCCAGCTTTTGTATTTCTGAGCAATATTTTTGTCAATTAATTGATATAAAAAATCTGAGGGTGATTTTATATGCTTATATTCTTTCACATCCCCCAAAAAATCAGCATGAAATTGTGCTGGCATTAATTAGTGGCTTAGTGTTAAAAAGCAGCCTTAATTATTGATCAAATAAATAAATGTTCAGATGTCCCAAAAGATGCTTGCTCATCCCTTTGGTAGACATAATCTAGTTATGGCAAAGTTAAGATCTCTAACTATTCAATACAGAAGTACAGTATAATCAAAACCTGCCAAATCACAGGACTGTTGTTTTGTCACAACTTGCAGGACACAAAATCAGTAAGCTAAAAACCAAATTATTGTCTTGCTATGGTTCTATAACGATGATCAATCAGATTGTAATGATAAGCAGAATATGAGTATTCAGTTCAAAGTTTCTGCCTTAATACCTAAAACACTTTGCAAGTACTCCTCAGCTGACAGCCACAATCAGAGCCAGAACTTCCATCACTAAGTGATGTAGTCTTTAGTTGAATTGCACTAGATTTTATAACATTTTTTGTCATGGTCATTAAGCAAATCACTCAGTTGTTAAGCCAGTTTGGCTTTCCCCATTGACTTTGCTTGTCAGAATCCCCCTGGGAAAGTCACAAACGGGGACCATCGGACCCGGAGATGCTGCAACCCTTATAAATACATGCTAGTTGCCAAACGATTGACTTTTGAAGGAGGGGGTAGGGTGAAAAAATTCATTTACCTTTCATCTCTGTTAACACCATAAGAAACAGAACATAGGAAATATCTGACTACAGGCATCGTCTGGCCTTCAAATGTTTTATGACATCAGGGTGGGCCTACGCTTGCTGAATATATAAGCCCATTTCAAAGCAAAGACAAAGCTCTCTTTGGCTAAATAAAGGTAAAGAGTAAAACTTTCTCTGTCTAGTCGTGTCCAAATCCAGGGTGGGGTGGGGGGTCGCTCATCTTCATTTCTTAGCCTTGGGAGCCAGCATTGTCTGAAGACATTTCTGCGGTCATGTACCATCTCCTCCAATTTAGAAAGCACTTCATTATTATTAATGAAAGACCTTTTCTCAGAGAGGTTTTGCAAGACCATCAAATGTTTGATCTTACAAGGCAAATGGCACACGTGTGGTATAAATGCCTCTGTGAGAAATGGGGGTAACATCTCAGGCCTAGTCAGAATGTAGTTATAATTTTCCATCATGTGTCAAATCTGTGAATGATCACAGGCTATATGACAGCACTCACCCGCCAGCGTACATGGAGAAGTGAATATCACTACCATATTATTGTATAATATATTACAAGTTATCTTTTGTGGAAAATCTTAATGTGCAGTTTCAATTGCTCACACATGGCTATCAGATGGCTTGGTTGTTTTTCATTGCCATTTAGGTAATAATATTTCTTTTTTCTCCTAGACCAGGCCAAACTTCACTGCATTATTTTCCTGCCCCTCACAACAGTTGTATAGAAAAGATAGCTAAAAACTAGAATACAAAAGATTAAACCTCCCCACATCCTGTGATCATGAAACTGATTGGGCCTCTTATATTTACTTTTGAATGAAAGAAAAGCAAGAGGAGACTTGATCCTACATGTTTAATTTAATGCAGGGGTGGGCAATTTTATGACCTATGGACTTCAAATCCCAGAGTTCCTGAGCCCATGTAATCTTGACTTTGTGATAAATATCTGGTGTTCAACTTAGTAAAGATGGGTTTATGTAGATCCTTCAGAGCTCTTTATCCATTTCAGCACAATCACCATGGTTACAATAGCAGCCATTTAAAGTAAGTTCTAGAGCTCTGATGAAACTGTGGTAAAGGGACTTCTCAAGTGAAACATCTTTCAAAGGTGTTGAAAATTCCCAATTTATAATTCGCAAAATTCCCAGGCAGACTTAAGATGCATTTTGTGAATTATTTCACCCCAATAAAAAAAGCAAAAGAAAGTGCAATGCTTAGCACCAGAACAGGAAATAAGAAAGGAATTCAGAAAAAGAAATCAAATTTCAGTTAACATGTTATAGTTCTATTTATTGGTACATGTAAACCATTTACACCGGAGTTGGCAACTTTTTTCAGCAAGAGATCATGCTATCATGCTGATATTTATTTTCCTTCAGGGTAGATACAGTAACATTACAAAATGAAAAGTAAAAAAAGGGGGAGGGTATTTGGGGGTGATCTGAATGTCAGAGTAAGATGAACATGTACAACTTTTTGTTATTTATTTTAGCAAACCGCCATCCCTAATAAATATGTCCATAACAATCAGTGGCTTTAATATAAACAGCTTCATCTGAAACTACTCCAGGGGCCTTGCAATCTCTGATTCACACTGATTCAGACTTCCCATTTTAATTTAACCCAGAAATTTAAATTTCATGAACTGGCAACATTGAACAGTGAAATATTAAGTGGAAAAAGATTTACTATACTGATGTATACTGTAACAGGGAATGATCAACAGGGACTGTCAACCATCACAAAGATGACAGATCATATAAAACAAAAGGATAAACTTTAAATTGAAGTTACGGGTCAGTGAAGGCCTTAGGTAAGACTAGAAGTGTTGTCTACGGGATATTTAATAAATAAAAGCTGGGTATATTTGCACAGCATTAAAACAGAATACCTATAAAAAGGCACAATTTTTTCAGCCAGCAGAGAGAGTATATCCAACTTTGGAATTAAATGGAGAGCAAAGAGGGTCAGATATGGCCATACAATTATTTAAACACAAAAAGCAACACCTTGGGAATTAAAATTCACTTTTTTGTAGTCTGAATCAAATTTAGCAACATTTCTACCTGCCCTAAAAATGACTTCTCAGATCAATTTGAAAGTTTAGTAGGGAAGAGGGAATTATCCTTAGTTCAGTATTTGAAATAGCCAAATCAGTAGTTCTCATTAGTAACGTTAATCATCAAATAGTATCCCAAGAGTTATTTCAGTACTTGTCAACATAGTTCTACTTACTTCAAGGGTCAGAAAGCAATGGAGAAATATATATTACCATTAAAAACACAGAAAAAAATATGCGAGGAAGGGATATTCAAAAATTCATTTTGCCCACAGTCTTCTCACAGTCAAAAATGGTCTTGTTCTACTGTTATGCCTATTGGTAAAGAAACAAATATTACAAAAATACTATTAATCCCCAGCGCTCCAAAGGGAACTGATTTCTGATGTAATATTTCCAGCATTTCTTGGCATTTAGAAAAAAATGGAACAGCAAAAATCAATTGGTATAGTGGTTAAGGCACAAGATTAGTAAACAAAAGCTTTAAATTCTAGACCTGGCCTTAGAAAAAAAAGCCACTGGTTGATTTGGGGTCAGTCATACTCTCTCAGCCCTAGAAAAAAGACAAGGTCAAACCACTTTTAAAAATCTTGCCAAGAAAACTTCATGGACTTGCCCATACAGTTTTCAGGAGTCAACACTGACTTGAAGACTTTAAAAAAATGTAACAGTGCCTAGAACATTAAAATAGCAGGGATTTATTTATTTATAGCCTGCCTTATTATTATTTCATGAGCCATGGTGGCACAGTGGTTAGAATCCAGTACTTGAAGGCTAATTCTGCTGACTGCCAGAAGTTCAATCCTCACTGGCTAAGGTTGACTCAGCCTTCCATCCTTCTGAGGTCGATAAAATGAGGACCCCAATTGTTGGGGGCAATATGCTGACTCTGTAAACTGCTTAGAGTGCTGTAAAGCACTGTGAAGCAGTATGTAAATGCTATTGCTATTTACAAATAACTCAAGACAGTGAACATACCCACCTTCCTCCTCCTCCTCCTTTTAAACTCTCAATTTTATTTATAGTATGCATTTACCTTCAAAAAATTCAAAGGAGCAAGATTTAAAATATAAACATAAAAACATCAACAAGTCAACTCTAGAGTAAAATTTATTCTGTGCACCCAGGTCCCTTACAGTTAAAATTAAAAGGTAAAGATATTTTTTAAAAAATGGCAACAAAACCTTACAAATGTTAACTGTTCCTTCAGTATATTAACATGTCTTCCTAAATTTGATCCAACAAAAATTCATGATTATAAAAAAAATAATGAAAGGTTATTAAATCTGATATAGCTCTGTGAAGTGGTAAGTACTATGAGTAAATTGTGTTGAATATCAGAAAGAAAGGGGTTTACATAAAAAGCTAAGGGCCTGGAGCATTTTCCATTTATCAAGTGTTGGCAAAAAAAACCAAAACAGAAAAGTTAATATAAAATCTTCTCTCCTCAAAAATGCCTCCTTCCAATCCAAAAGCACCTCTGGATTCCCATCCTCCTCAGATGCCACACAATTCGAACAAGAGGGAAAAAGCTTAAGATGTTGTCTGCCAAATATGCTAATCGAAATATTTAATTTCTGCTTCTCTCCCTCAACT